CTAGTGTTAAAACACATATTAATATGCTAATAAATAACGAAAAAATAATTATTATTCTATTGTTTTGAAAATCACGTTCTATTCGTCTAATTTTAAAGCAGAATCCCAACCAAGCCGTACGCTTAAAGGATCGTCTACTGCTTTAGTAAAATCGAATACTACAAAATCTCGATCTCGCAAATGTTTATCGATAATCTTAGATGCTTTTTTCGGATTATCTGTATATTGATGCACGATTCGTTTTTGGACACAGAAGTTATTTCGATTTTTGGTTACACAGGCTTGTGACAATCGATCTCTTATATCTTAACTTAGACATTATACAATTACACGTAATGTCTTCAGTCTATACAAAAATTGCCGACCTTGATTTAACACGAGAGGAAAAAAAATCACTACGCATCCTCTTCACTAATAAGCCTCTTATAAGAACCGAAGCAGAGAAAATTATTCCTACCTGTAAGGACAATGAAGAGATACTTGATTATTTGAAAGAACTCCTAAAGCCAGGTACAGTAAAGTATTAAATATTGCCTTCATTTCTCGTTTTTTTTTTCATACTTATCGTCAAAAAAATTCATTCACATTTCGTAGAATCTGTTGTCACCGGTGGGCTTAATTTTTGATAGTCGCTTCTTCATTCTCGTCACAATGTGTCATATTTTATAATAATATCGGATATTCCAAACTTGCACAGTCCAGCAATCGTTACCTTCTCAAGATATTGAAGTTGTCGCAGATTCAATAGTTAACGAACCACCAATTTCATCTGAATTTTCTCCGTCACAAACAGTCCAGCAATCGTTATCTTCTCAAAATGTTGAAGTTTCCACGGATCCAGTAGTTAACGAACCATTAATTAAAAGAATTCGGAACGATACGCACTTACCCGAAAACGCCTCTCAACTCCTTCGCTATTATGGTAAGATTGCAAAGATTAAATCATTTATTGCTATGATATTTCTTTACTTATGGCTTCACTTTCACACTCTTACAGAGCTTTGGAACAAACCTTACGATGATTGGCCGAGTCTCCGCGAATTTTCGGAGTATTTACGTGATGTTAAAAAAGCTTGCGTTCATAATTCATTCAAAATGGAGATCAGGGCTTTACAGAAATTATTTAAAAGTGACCATCCCGCTCAGCTGAGGCTCATACATTTGGAAGGACAATTGAAGGTAAAGTTATTTACTTAAGTAGCCTGAAGACCGATCATTTATGCCAAGCTGTGTGCTTGTTGAAGGGGCGTTATCCTTTGTATACAGATAAGCTATAAATGTAATTTTTGGCTGTTTCTGGCTGATTTTCGTGTCTAGTTGTACTTTAGTGGAGATAATATCCGTATTGACTGTATGAGAGCTGTCTCCATGTTGAATGCATAAAGCGTAGGACGTGTTCCTGGTTTTACTAAAGTTGCATGAAGCGTCGGACGTGTTCCTGGTTTTACTAAATTGACCTCAATCTTGATGTATTTCAGAATCAGCAGAAATCACGGAAAATCCGTAGAGGAAATGCTACAAAAGTTTCAACTAAACAGAAACTAACAGAAAAAAGATTGGAAATAGCGAAGGTATAGTTTTTTTTTAATTTTATTATATTTAACAGTTTGTGAAATTAATCCGTCATAAATATTCCAGAGCTCGGTAATTACAAATGGGTACCATCGCATCAACGATCATTACAATCATTATCACGACGCAAGTGCAAAATTATTGAAACGAGATCTTTTAGTGGATGACGAGAGAACTGATATAAAAAAAATGAAAAAAAGTGTCGAAGCTCAATAGATCATAGAATTATTATAGATATTGATTCACAAATGTCAAAAATTTTAATGTAACGAATTTGATGATGTAATGCATTTATTTTGTAAATAATGAAATATAATTAAAGAAATGATTAATGAATTGCATTTGAAGTTTTAAGTTTACTAAATAAGACCCAATTCTCGAAGATGTTCTGGAATAATTATATATGGGTCTTCGTAGTACCAAACATATCTTAAAGCGATCCAATTTTCCTCGCACAATTCTTTCTTGAGTTGATCCCGTTTTTGTTGCCGGACAAAATTATTAGGATCTCCTTTATGAAAGAATTCGTTATATTTCTTATGCTGTTCTCCTTGTACTTCGATAGCAAAACCATAATGGTAATAGGGAATATCCAGTTCCAATCCATTTGGATGCTCTGGTGTTCTTAAGAAATTAGGCCAGCGATTTTCTGATGGAGGTCCAAGATATTTTGTTACAATTTCACGACAAAGTTTTTCACGCTTATTTTGACAAAATGGGCACCAGGTATTATTATTTTTGATATTTTTAAGCGTTGAATACCATTCATGTCCTTTAGCACATTTCCATAATAAAGGTGAACGAGTATTAACAAATATCTCAGAAAGACATTCACCATTTCTGCTATGTGCAATTTGTTTAGCTTTTTCAAGAGTAAGACGTTTTGTACCTGCACAATATGGACACCAACTATTACTATGTTTTATGCTTGCGAGTCTAACACTCCATTCATGACCTTTAGCACATTTCCATAATAAAGGTGAACGAGTATTAACAAATATTTTAGAAAGACACTCACCATTTCTACTATGTGCAATTTGTTTGGCTTCTTCAAGAGTAAGACGTCTATTATGTGCACAATCTGGGCACCAGCTATTATAATGTTTTATACGAGCAAAAGAAGAAGACCATTTATGACCCATATCACATTGCCAAGAAAGCGGTGTATAACTATTTATATATTTTTCAGAGAGACACTTACCATTTCTATTATGTGCAATTTGTTTGGCTTCTTCAATTGTACAACGGCGATTGGAAGCACATTGCGGACACCAATTTTTAGCATGTTTAATCTTGTGAAAGGAAGCCAGCCATTCATGCCCTTGATGGCATTTCCATATCATTGGAGTAGTGGAATTATTATATACAGTTGAAAGACATACTCCATTACGAGATTTGGCAATATCACAAGCATCATTCAAAGATAATTTTACCATTGTGAATAAAGATTTTAATAATTCTTATATTCTATTTTTCTAAGTTTAAAATTTTGTCCCATCCTTTGCGAAGATAAAGAGCGTCTTCTTTAGCTCTAGTTAAATCGATAACAATAAATTCCCGACCCTGTAAATTTTTATCAAGCATGTCAACGGCATTACGCCAATTTTTTGTGTATCGCCTAGCAATATTAGCTAGTTCATCATATGTACTACTGCCATTGAAGAGAACAATATAATCGAGATTTTTTCTTATTAATTTTGGGCAGTCGAAGAAGGATTGTGTAACATATATGTTACTAATATTAGAGTGCCGCCCTTCGGTGAAGTAACGAGCAATTTTTTCTTGTATTTTTTTGGGTTCGGTACATACATCTTCGAATATAACAACTGTTCCTCTCTCAGGAGAGAATTCTTCTATCTTTGGTATTTTATCGGGTTTCATTG